CAATCTCACTCTCCTCGGAGCATCACCCACAGTATGCATTACAGGGGATTTAAATGAACTTTCCAAAGCCACCCTGCAATTTTTTTTTTTAATTTTTTAACAGGTTTGATGATTATTCTCAGCTGTTTCAGTATGAAGGCCAAATTCTGCTAATTTCCTGCAACCTAATTTTCCCCCATTCGTACACAGCAGCTTCCCAGTTCCAGTGATGTGGGGTGGAGGTCGAAAGCCACATGATGAGCCCCCCAACTCGGGACTTCCCAAGCATGTCCAATGGCAGAGGTCTGCTTCGTACCTGATGTCACCATATTAAATAAGACAAGAAGCTTGTTAAGAGCCACCGCTGTGCTGCAGTCCAGCTGCATCAACAGCTTTCTCCCTGCTGCAGTCGGATCACCCTTTCCAGCAGACAGCATCTGTCTCCGCTCGCATTCCAGTCTAAACAGCTGGAAGTGAAGTCTTGGTACGACGTCTTCCTCAGTCAGATCAGCACGTGCTTGGTTTCAGATGCGGTGGAACACCCAACAGGACATAGGTGCTGCTGAAATCTTTGACAGCTTTCTTCTCTGAAGAGGTAGACTGCTTTCAAACAAGAATGCCGGTTCTTTCCAGTCCTGAGGAAACAGCTGCCCCAAGATATTTGCTGTTGGCCAAACGTGAAAGCAGACCATGCCGTCACCCTGTGCCCCGTTCAGCTCTCCTAGCAGTAACGGCACAAATATTTTCTAATTCAGGTCTAAGACCACATAATTCCCAATTAAAACCTGGTGAGCTTTAATACAAGCAGTTTAACATGCTGAAGGAACATCCAGCTCCTTACAACTTTTTCTTGTATAGACATGTTGATACAGGCATGAGGAAGTTTTAGTTCTAGACAGAAAATGTTGACTAACAGAGGTAGCTTTCTTCAAAAAAAAAAAAGTCTTTGAAAATTCTTATTTTAACAACTTGTGAAGCCACTGGTTGGAACAGAGGTCACTGCACACCTGGAGTAAAACAGGGGTTCAAGTCCAACATTGGAACGACCCAGCTATCTTAAAAAAAATTATTATTTAGCACTTCAGTATCATTTCAAGTGAGGAAACGCTAAACAAGTTTAGGCTACGAGGTGCTTTGACATCAGTCTTTTCTCTGCCTGAAGTAACAGATGTGCTTTTCTTTCTTTCTAAATACACAGTTAAAACAGTAAATATTGAGGTCTAGAAAAAGGTTATTCTGTTCTGGGGCAGTCTATGCCCAGGAGTGAAGTGGAACAGGATTAAGCTAGAACATCCCAATCATGTTGATGATTCAGCATCTTCATTTTTTGTTTGCTATTTATGGCTCCTTGGCAAGTCCAAGAGAAGACAGACAATGCAATAACTTGATCAACCTGATGCTTCCAATTCCAAGACAATCACTCAAACTTGGGATTTCCACTGGTATCTAATGGCAAGTCAGTAGTAGAGAATATAAAAGTTCCACTACCCTGCATCACCTAATTACATACATTAAGCCACTTAAAACCGATTTAGCAATATATTCACTCATTTATAATATTTCAAGAAAAACCTCCAAGCATTGTGCTATGAGTTACAAATTCAACTCTTCTACTTTGTATACTGCAGCGTATGTTTGCAGTAAGTGGGAGTTTACATCTGTATCTCCACTCCATTAATGGGAAAGCAATAAATGATTTCAAGCCTAATTCATTAATAAATAACTATTCTAGACAAGTTTGATGGGCTGACGAAGTTCAAAAGCCAGCAGTGTCCACATGTCTAGATCTAAGAACTAAGGCAAAGGAGCAAATAAAACAGGATTTGCCTTGGACTCTACAACAGCAACACTGGGAGCAGTTTAGCACTAAAAAGGTGCCTTACAACATTTTCCTCCCATTGTAAACGTACATGTAGAGAAGCACCCAAGTCAACATTGCGAGGGATTTCTTTTTCTGAAGAACAATCAGTGTATTTTCCAGGTGTCTGAAAGCCTCCACTTTCTTCAGCTCATGATGGCTATTAATATTTATCCTGTGGTTCATCAGCATCACTAGCCTCTGTTTCGCTGCTCTGAGAGAGATCTTGATGGCTCTCTACTCTGTCCAGTTCCAGAAAACTAGTAATGAGTTTGGCAACTGCTTCCACATCACTGTGGAAAAGAAGAAACAGTGTAAGAGTTAGTGGAGCTGTGGCACTGACAAGACAAGAACAGGCACGCTGACTCTGGAGAATAACTGCTTGAAGGGCCAGTCAACGCGCGGCACAGAGCATGACTGACAGCATCCTGCTTCTGAAGGCTTATCAAGCCAAGCCATTACTTCCACATCAGAACAAGTCAATCCTTTTCCTACAGTCCCTGCTGCAAAAATCCTTATTATCGATGCTTAAAGCCTCTGTTAACTGATAAATACACCAAATGTTTGCAAAAGAGCGTTAATCCCTCTGCCATGGCACAGCTGAGCTGGTGAAGGTAACTACAGCAGCACCAAAGGGATCTTGGGTATCTAAATACAATCAGTCTCCTGATGAGAGATGAGGTTACCCAAATGTCTGCAAGCAAAAGCATTAAAAGGTTTAAATAAACTGAACAACACACGGTCATATGAGCAGGTATGAGAATTGAGCTAAGCCAAGTCTCCATAGTTGGGAATTACTGACCCATGTGACTGGTATTTCCCACCTTACACATTCTAATTTTCATAAGTCCACACCTTCTACAGCCCAACACCGCACTCTGAGTCAGCGGGTGTGAAAATCCAGTGACGAATCGTAGCACAACCATGTAACCCTTCCCAAAGTATCGCACGGTCTCCTCCTCCACGTTCACATCTCGGATCTCATTCAGCAGAGCCACTACTGTAAACAGATGTGGAAAACAAAGTCCTTGATTAGCATTACAGTAAATTCTCAGCACTGTCACTGGTGACTTGCTGTCTGGGACTCGATGCTCAAGTGCTACTGCTCTGATCCCCTACAACCAGGGCAGCTCTGCAGTAGCAAACAACTGCTGAGCTATTCAGGCAAAACAAAGGAGAGGTTACAGCGCAAACTAGCAGGTACAGGCCCTAGTGACCACTGCCTCCCAGGAACTGGGGACCATTAGTTTATTGCTCATGTTTCCTGCTTTAATGAGAGTTTTAACTATTTTTCTGTACAGAGTAGGTAAACACGTGTTAAGTTCATTGAGACTGAAAAGATACTGGAAGATTTAACTGTTCAGAGCATCTGCTGATCTCCCACATTAATGGTTCTCGAAACAGATGTTACCAAATAACCTCTCAGGAGGAGATGTGCTCAGCTCCCCAACATATAAACAAACCCTAAAGAGAAGTTCACAAACATTAAACATCCTTCTCTGCACATCTCTTATCTTCCATCTCCAAAATGAACTGTTTAAAAACCAATTTGACTTAAGGACATTCCAAATTCTGGCCGTTTTCCAAGCATATGGAGAGTTGGTTTGATTTAGACTAGCAAGGACAATAAAAAAAATCTGATATGGAAGAGGATGCTACTTCATTTTGCAATGGAACTTCTGTCTCGCAGAGACTCAACCAAGTCACATAATTCAACGTGTTACTCAGAGGAAGCTCAAAAGAAGTGAGGTACTAAATTAAGCTGAGCCTACTGAATATGCCACCTTAAATGCATATGGATATCTGCAAGACACAACATGCCTGCTTGCATATGGTATCTATTGCATATGGTATCTAAAGATTTGCCTGCTACCAAAACCAGATCAGATTATAGAAACCTCAATTCCTGGATGCAAAATTGAAGTTTTTCCACCAGTCTCCACCAGCAAAGCAGGCTAGTGGTGCTTAGCTGCAGACTGTGGACACCAAGGGAGATGTAAACCTGCACATTCCGTCCCAGAGGGAGGGCTAAAACTATTACTGAATGCAATGTGTACACCTAGTTACCTTGGATTAAAATAGCTAACAGGATGCAGTCAGCACCCTAACCGGAAAGAGCATTTGGGTCCTGAGAGACAGCTTATTACACCTCCTGCTTTGTCAGTGACATGGATGGTGACGTTGAGTGCACCCTCAGCAAG